AACCAAAAATGTACAACTGGATAACTATGTTTAACAGCCCTTAAAATAAATGTTTCTTTTCCCTGGTCATATTGCCGATATTTTTACACAAAGTGGACCTTCTTTGTGAGCTTCTACCTGTTTTTGATTTTAAGACTTTTTGATTCTCTGATTTAATGCAGCCTCAAATATGTAATCATTTTTCATTTTTTAGAACTAAAACCAAAAAGAAATACAGAGAAATGCCTCAAGTTCCTCCTTATCCCTGTCACCTGTACCCCAAAGTGAATGCTTATTAAGTATTCACAGCACAGATTTCTATTGGGAGATTTTCTGACCTATTACAGAGTGCTCTGATTTATGAATAAAATTAATTAACAGAGAGTGCTTTGGAAGGGATGATTCCTTCCAGAACAAGCACTGTTTTCCCTTTGCTTGTTCTCTGGGACAGCTGGAGCTCGTTCTCTCAAGTTCCCTTTGTCAGAAACCCAAGACCCCACTCAAACTCTGTCACATTTTTCAAACTAACCCTGTGAACTTGTTGGAATACTTGAAAGGCAAAAAAAAAAAAAAAAGTGCAAGCATATACTACCTGTTTTTAAGATGTACTTGTTTTTTAAATGATCCTTTGCAAAATGATTCTTCTGAATTTGGGAAAGAAAGTGCGGTCTTCTAAGGAAGGGCAGCTCTGTCCAACCCTGAGGGAACTTTAGAAGCAAGCTCAGGGAGGCAGAGCAGGGAGGCGCTCCTTCTCAACTGTGCCAGCTAGAATCTAAGAAATCTGGTGTCACCTTGAGTACAAAACCAGATAGGAACACAAAAATGATCTGAGCAAATTAGATGAGATGTTTAGCAAACTCCCTTGGAAACAGGTTTTAAATTTTTTTGTTATTGTCCAATACATGAGCAGCCATATATCTGCCTATCAGAAGGAAGTATCTTCTTGTTATGTCTATAGGCTATGTGAACACTGCCCAAAGCTTTGGAAAGGAAGTAAAAGTAGCATCTGCTTATAGGGGGCTTACTGTGAGTCAAACACTGCTCTAATTTACATATATGTATCAATCAGACTCCTGAGCTAAATCACTATAGTTAACTCCATTTTACAGATTTAGGAAACTAAGATACAGTAAGCTTAAGTGCATTTCCCAAAGTGAGCCAGTGGGGAAGCTGGCCTCGAAGCCAAGCTATCTGGCTCCAGACTGCCATGCTCTGACCCCAGTGGGGCTGAGGCCTCCTCAAGGTTTGCTTCTGACACAAAGGAATTTAGAGCAGCAGGAGGCCAGTAGAGGCATTCTTTGGGAAAAGAATTGTGTTCCAAAGAGATCTGGCAATAAATAAAACTGATTGGCTCACTGATAAGGATGGAATGGGGTTTGGAGAATTGAATACTCTCATGAAATAAACATGTGATTGTGACCTTCCAGAAGTGACAGAAACTATTCAAACTATCTCATTTTTATCATTTCTCCCCCTCAAAGCCTTCACTTTAGACTGCACTGTCCTGGCAGAATCTTGCTCAAATTGGCTGTGACTTTCCAAGGGCTAAATAAATGCTTAGAAACAAGGACACATATATCTTTGTAAATACCAAAAAGACAGTTTTGTTGTTTGTAAAAGCTACAGCATCTTGCCCAAAACCTCTTCACCTTTTCTGTGGATGCAGAAACTGGAGTCCAGAAAGATTAAATAGATTTGCCAAAGACACAGCACCAGATTGCTTAACATTTTCCATAGGTGCCTGCTCAAACTTTCCCAAATGGGTAAACTCCTCTGTCTCAGATTGAAGTTCCCTGACCACAGCATTGGCACCACCCAGGAGCCTGTTAGAAATGCAGAATCTCAGAGCTGGCCACAGGCCTGCTGTACCAGAATATGCATGTCCATATGAATAGTAAAGTTTGAAGAGTGCTTCAATACACACTAAACTCTGTTTTCAAGATATTTTACTTGCAGGGAGGGGAGTGGTTAATGATTTTATACTAGCTATAATACATCAGTCTCATGGAAAGTGTAGTCTCAGCCTCTTGTCCTTTAATTTAAAATGGTCTTCCAGATGCATCAGGCATGGTGGCGCATGACTGTAACCTCATTACTTGGGAAGCTAAGGCAGGAGAATCATGAGTTTGAGGCCAGACCAGGCTACATAAAGACCTCATCTCAAAGAAAACAATAAGCTACCTTGCTGATGCAAAACAATCTTTATGTGCTTTTGTGGTAGATCTACACCTTATAAGATCCAGTCACTGCTTGGTGAGCAGATACTAAGGCTTCATATGTACAAAACTGTCTCTAATCAGGCTTACAAGAAATGGCCACAATCCTCATTTTTACAATGACTATACTGATATCTTTTCTTAAGAGCAGATTCAGAGCCGGTTCTCAAATTTCACCAAATCCTTTTAGCACAGATGGCAAACATAAATCTCAGCCCAGCTACTGCACAAGTTAACACACAGTAGATAAAGCAAAAATACTGACAATACCACTTATGTGTTGTTTACCGTGTGTCTGGTGCTATTCTGAAAGGTGAATGACTAAGAAACCACTTAATCCTCATAGAAACTCTGTTTTGTGGAAGTGGAAGCTGAAGCACAGAGAAGTTAAACAGTTTTTCAACATCACACAGCTGATTCATGGCAAGAATTTTAACCCTGTCTGCCACCAAAGCATGCAAGTAACCACTGAGCCACAGTGATTCTGAAAATCCAGACTACGGCTGCACAAGTTTCCAAGAGATTATTTTATTAAAATGGAAAGTTTTATGTTATGCATATTTCACAATGAAAATGGGTGAAAGGGTAAAAGCGTTGATACTGCATGCTGAAAATAACTGTTCACAATTCAGTTTCAAAAGGCTTTTATCATTAAAATGTTCTCAAAATAAAGACTGATTATTTACTTTGGGGACCATAATTTGTTTTAAAGATTTTACTCAACAAAAAGAAATAATAAAGGTCAGCAGTTACCAAGATTATTTTATAAAGGTAAAACATTACCTCTGGTCTCTAATCCTAGGTTGCAATAGCAACACCACATGTTCTGCTGCTTGGAAGAACTTTAAAATGTCCTTCTGCTTATAATTGGAACTAGCTTTAACCTTCAAATTGCCTCGTGTTTTCCATAAATGAAAAGCAATTGTAGACTCTAAGGATTCATGATATTCCTGACTTTGCTTATCTAGTAAATCACTGGCATGGTTTCTCTGATTAGTTACACACAGATCAACTCATTTTCTAAATAAAGTCTTACATCAAATTTCAATGTACACAACCAAAGTTGTGTGCTTTGGTTGAATCGAAGGGGAAACCTGCTTTCCACCATCAACTTCAGTAGGTGCTGAAGGCATGGCCTTAGAAGCCTAGAGTCCTTTAAACACCAGATGAAACAGTGAAGGGCTTCCCATCTGCATTAATTCAGCTTCCCTTAGATCTCTCTGCCTGACACTATATCCAGTGATATCCTTTAGCCTTGAACCAGAAGCCCTCACAAGATTTTATCTGTCTTCTGAAGACTGACGCAGGGGAAAACCTTCACAAAACAGCTGAAAAGAGCATTGCTCAATGCTTGGAGAAACAGAAAGTGGTCACAGAAACACAATAAAGGATCACTTTCAATTGCAAAGTAAGAAATACCTGCAAGGGAGGCAGATATGCCTACTAAGCAGAAAACTTCTCTCTGTACTTTTCTTCAATTCTATTTGTGCACACCAGAAACACAAAGGAAATAGAACATAAACCAACGTGTGGTATACGTAAAGAACTTGGTTTCAGTGCAAGATAAAGAAAAGCTAGCAAGTCTCAACCAATAACCATAACCAATCTGTTAACTCTGTAATGAATTTCACTGAGTTGCCATCAGTGGCCACTTCCAAGCCATTATTCTCATGGCTGCACATAAAAAATTAACAGTTATATAAGTGCCAGTTTCCCACTGGGAGAATGACAAAGTAGATCCTAGTACCCCTGATGCTGTCATTGTCAGGTGCCATGTGTCCAGGCCCCTCATAGATACCACAGATAACTTTTAACCATCTCTGTGCCCCCCACCCCTAAGTCAATGGCCATAACCAATAACTGCTGAGTAAGGGAGAATGAAAACCTAGGTCCCTTGCCTGAGGTGGGTCAGGACAACTCAGAGTCGCCAGCAGGATAAAGTTAAAGCCATTCTCTTCAAGACTTTGCCTGAGATAGAACCCTTGCATGGCTTTCTCCCCTAAGTTATCCTGATTTCTTCTACTGTCCTCCTTTATAATCACTCTTTTACAACACTCCTTTACAATCACTCTTACAGGAACCCACATGTCAAAGTGTGCTACTGGAAATTTCCACCTGAAAGCTTGCTACCCAGCTTGTCAGTCTTTCAAACTTAGCTTTCCCCAGCAATTGGTTCTGGTGTGTAAATAATACAATGCTTGTCATGTCCCTTCCCTTCCACAAATATATCCATAACTTTCGGCCTAAACTGATTGCATTTGATCAAAAATGTAGGAGCTTAAATCTAAATAGTATAAGCTTCCATTGAAAATAATAAACAGTGTCATGTATGGTATAAATTGTCATTAATTTTTAAAAATAAGCTTTCTATAATGTAGTAGTGCTCTTTCCTTACTAAATAGGGTATAAATAATTCACATAAATCTTTATGGAATGGAGTTGGTCTTGGTGTCTTCGTTTGTTTCTTAAAGGTGGTGATTTTGCAAGACCAAGGAGTTAAACTCAAATCATAAAATCGTACTAAAATTAAAAAGAATTAGAGTAAGTCTGTACATATATTAAAAAATACCATGAAAACTGATTTTCAATGAAAGTCTTTATATAATCACAACTTCTTATAATCTTTCTAACTCTGTGAGTTTGGATGCAGCAAAAAAAAAAATCTGGGTTCCCTTAGGTTGCATTTATTCTGATAACTATGAAGCAAGTCTATCCCTTGGGACAAAAACTATGAGAAACCTAGTGAAGTTGTCACAGGTAGGGCCAGCCTGTGTCACTGCACAAACACACAACAGTGCAGCTTACCTTTATTCCCAGAGCTTCTCCAGAAATGACAGCAACTGTCACACCATCCTTACTGGGTTTAGGGATTTGTTCACTTTTCAGTTCCTGGTACTGAGGCTCCACCATCTTCTCTGAACTTCTCAAATTAACCCATAGTTGTAAGCCATGGGCTGGCTCCTCTGAGCAAGGCATCTCAGCATGCAGAATGCCCCGGCCTGCAGTCATCCACTGCAAACACCAAACCAACAAGAGAACGTTACCAGCCCCTAACAAGTCTGCAAGTGAGACAATTACAACGTCACCACTGAGACAGCTCACAGGTGCTGCATTGTGAGAAATCACAAACGTCAATGATCACTGCTAGCAAGACTGCCAGTTTTCCAAACGCTTTCATCCTTCTTCATTTGAAGTCAAAGCCTCAGAACTGAAGTTCTTGTAAATGGAAGAGACCTTTCGGTGATATCCCTAAGTCTTAGACTGAGCTCTGAGCTGTGAGGTTGCAGGCGTGTAGTACTTTGGGGTGTGTTCTGGGGAGATACAATTTAAGAAGTGAAGAAAGCAGTCTTGGGCAAAGGGAGAAGCCAACTAGCAATACAATTACAACACAGGCCTAAGCCAATTCAATAGGGAACTCTGGAATTGGGATGATCCCTTTAAAGTCCTCCCAAATAGAGGCAAGGTGGCCAAGCTTATCTATCCTCACATTGGCAATGTGGGTCATCTCTGAGTAGGATGCACCACCTTAAAAAAAGCAGCTTCCTGCCAAAGTGGGACATTCCCATGAAGGGATATAGGAGACAGCCATCAGCAGCCAGTGTTTCCAGCACCTGGAGAATACATGCGTGGCTCTAAATATACATGTAAAAGCCCTCGACACCTGCCACACTGTAGATGGCTAATTTGTGCCTGTAAATGTTTAGCTCCAGTAGTGGCACCCTCACCACTTGGCTAAATCATTGTTGACTTCACAGCTGAGCAGATTCAAGTCTTTATTTCTTTACTAAGAGATATTAGGGGCCAGCTCCAAACGTTAACCTCCAAATCAGGAAACAAAGGGATAAACATGATAGGTACATTTTCTGCTTGTCTTAGTTTGTGTTCTGCCATAGACACAAGGACAAAGACCTATCTGTAGGTACCTCATTTGGAAATTGATACAGAAACCTAAATGAGGGAGCATGAAAGAATGAAACAGGCAAGGAAGAAAGCTGAAAAGGGAAGTTACCAAGCACAGTGTTTTTCATTTTATTCAGCACTTCAATATACATGATTTCTTTGAGATCACTGTTATTTTCATCTCAGGTTTTAAATGAGGGAATAGGAATTTAAAGATATTAAAAATAGAAAGATGCCCATGGCCTTGGAGCATGTGAATTTTAAGGATGGAAAGAGAATCCTGTTCTTTTTCACTCCCCCACCAAACCGGGAGGTTGCCCGTTTTTAAGAAGGCATTGCCAAAATAAATTGTATATACAAAGGCCAACCAAGATGCTGAAAATATGGAGACAGAACTGTTGATGGAACAAGAAAGCGCATACAAATGGGAGAATTTAAGGAAAGCCAATAGCTATAGTCAGACAGAAAACAATTCAGATTCCTACATTAGGAGGTTTAATTGGCCTTATGAAATAAAGGGTACAGAGAAATTTACTTAGATTTAATGAAGGAAATAGCATCTAAAATATGCACTGGCATTGTTTCATGTCCTTGAACAGATAACTTTCATTCTTGTCTGAGTCTTTTTCACATGTGATTGCTTCCTTTATATGGGAAAACCTCTTGCTGTCCACTAGTTGGTTCTGAGTTTAGATCTCAGTCTGAAGTTTATATCTGCCAGTTTATAACCTCTGAGTTCAGGTGGTGACAGTTCCCCTATGTGTACATAGCACCCATCTTCAGTTCTTCTGGTCTCCCTAAGGGAGCCCATTTCTCCAGCCCATGCACTGGGAAACCCAGATATGCCAGGGATTTATCATCACAGTGGTCACTCCTGGTCAAGTAATGGGAATTAGAATCAAAATGCACTAGCTTCCCTTCCAAACTCAGGGGTTGGACAATAGGCAATGAGGCTATGGGGCAAAATCCTTCAAGAATCAATTGCACAAAGTAATTATTGACATTACAGTTGTGCTTGGCATTGTGAACAATGACAAGGTTCTACAAAAAGACATGAAATGGCTTGCCCAGTCCAAAGGAGCTCACCTGGCAGATATAAACTTCAGGCTGAGCTCTAAACGAAGAACTGACTAGTGGACAGCAAGAGGTTTTCTTATATAAAGCAAGCAACCACATGTGAAAAAGACTCTGAGACAAGAATGAACGTTATCTGTTCAAGGACATGAAACAATGCCAGTGCATATTTTAGATTCATTAAGTCTAAGTAAATTTCTCTGTATTTTCTACTTCATAAGGCCAATTAAACCTCCTAATGTAGGAATCTGAATTGTTTTGTCTGACTATAGCTATTGGCTTTCCTTAAATTCTCCCATTTGTATGCGCTTTCTTGTTCCATCAACAGTTCTGTCTCCATATTTTCAGCATCTTGGTTGGCCTTTGTATATACAATTTATTTTGGCAATGCCTTCTTAAAAACGGGCAACCTCCCGGTTTGGTGGGGGAGTGAAAAAGAACAGGATTCTCTTTCCATCCTTAAAATTCACATGCTCCAAGGCCATGGGCATCTTTCTATTTTTAATATCTTTAAATTCCTATTCCCTCATTTAAAACCTGAGATGAAAATAATAATGATCTCAAAGAAATCATGTATATTAAAATGCTGAATAAAAATGAAAAACCCTGTGCAGCACGTTCTAATCAAATATGTGGTTATAATGGTGGAAGAAATATTTGCTAGCACCTCAAATGTAGGGCTATACGCTGAACTTGACAGTGCTGATGGCAAAAGTCACCACTTCATGATCAAGACACATCCACTCATCACAGCTACGTTTCCAGCGAGATTTCACTTTGTCTTCTATTCCAGTGAAAGGTTATTGTTGGCTTTCCACCATGACTGTTTGTCCTTTTGCTTCTCTGTCTTTAAGTTTCATTGAAATGCCACGATTCAAATATTTGCATTTATTATCCCGTAAAATATACATGTGATTTCAGAAAATGCCTGATACAGAGTTCAGACTTTCAAAATTGACAGAGATGGTTCAGGCATTTCCTGGAGATTTTAACTAATTACCTATAACACATCTCAATACAGGATGGTGCAGGAGTTTGAGTCACTGTCTTAAGTAGCAATATGTAACCCTGCAAGTGAATAGTAAACTGTCTCAAATACAATGAGGTCTAGAAAGATGTAGATGGAAACGGTCACTGAAAGTGGAAATTAGGAAATCACAAGTGATTGTTGCCTAAACAGCTTCAAAGTTATAGAAGGGAAGTGCCGAGAGACCAGGTCTTATTTCACTGAGGAAGAAAACAGGAGAAAAGGAAGTTCAGACACTCACTCTTGATTATTCTTGAGAAATGTTAAGAAAAAGACTCAGTAAAAAAAAAAAAAAAGAGAAGAAGAAGAAGAAAGAAAGAAAGAATAAGGCTAGGAGGAAGTTAAAAAGTGATTGAGGAGTCAATGAAAGTACCTGTGCAGGCTTCTGGGCAGAGTAAACGAGTGCATAGGAAGGCGGACATCAGAGATATCACAGAGAAGGAGTGATCATGCTGGAAATGGGCAGGGTCAAGCAACACTCAAAGACTACTCCAGCAGCAAAGCTTTGTTCTTGGCCATACCTGTAGATCTCCTGGGTTCATTTTACCAAAGTGTCCGCAGAAATCTTCATGAGCCATGCTTCCTCCTTCCAGAAGATATGATACCTTAGAAAAGAAAAGGAAAAGTAGATCCTTGGCCCATTTTTAATCAGATGATTTAAGTTATTTGCTACGGACTTGTATAAATCCCTCATACATTTTGGATGTTAACCCCTTATCATGGTATGCAAATTATTTTTCCCTATTTTAAGTTGTTTTCCCATCACAAAAATAGGCCAATGGCCTAAAAAGACATTTTCAAAAGAAGACATTCCAATGTCCAATGCATGGAGGAAAAATGTTTATCGTAACTGAGTAACAGAAAAATGAATTCAAAACCACCGTGTATCACTTCACACCTGTTAGGATGGCTATCATCAAAAAGTCAAACAATAACAAGTGCCAATGAGGACATAGATAAAAGGGAACCCTTATTTATTGGTGGGGAGAATGCAAATTGGTGCAGCTACTGTGGAAAAAGTACAGATGATTCCTAAAAATTTAAGAAAATACAACTGCAACATGATCCAGCAATCCCACTTCTGGATATAGAGTCAAAGCAAGCAAAAGTCTTGAAGAGATATTTGCAATCACGTGTTTAATGCAGCACAATTCACAATAGCTGAAATATGCAAAAAAAAAAAAAAACAAGCATTGTCAAGGATGAACAGATAAAGTATTGGTGAGCTGTAAAGAGTCCATTGATTTTTTTCACTGAAAATGTGTTGAGGAAAATGTAACAAGTAACTAAAACAGTAGAATAAGGTGAAGCAATGAACCTAGTATCAGGGTAACATTACAAGTCCGTGCAATGTGTTTGACAGCATTTCGGATAGGTGTCCCCTCCCCTCAGCAGATGCAGGTCTGGCATGCCAGTACTCATAGTCAGAGGAGTTCTCATTCCCCTCCTCAGCCGGGCAGACATTGGCCCAACCACAGTCAGCCCTGGCACGCAGGATGAAAGGAAGTCAGCTCCTATTGAAACAGCACAGCTCCCATTACCAAACTTTGTTCATCCAGGTGGGTGGGATGATACATTTAAGGGTCCCTACGTTCCCCTAAAAGCTGCTTCAGGATCCCCACAAGAAGCATTTCCAGCGCTAGGTACACTAACACACTAGGTGCTCCATAAATGCTTATGAAATACATCAAGTGAATTCATGGGGAAGGGAGGGAAAGAGGATGCAAAAAGAATTAAGATCTGTTATGTACCTGTGCCAACTCTACACAAGGGATTTAGTCACTATGCACTGCAAATATGAAATGAAAAAATGAATTCACATAAATTAAACTCAATTTTTCCAAATTCATTTCCACATCAAATCTAAAAGTGGAAAGCCAACAGATACCTCTTACTGGAGCAGAACACAAAGCAAAGTCTCACCAGAAAGGTAGCTGTGATGAGTGAATGTGCCTTAACCATGCAAGTGGTGATTTTTGCCAGTGTGTATCATCAGGCTGAGCTTGCAGCTGCTTACAAATAAATTAGTTAAAATTAAATAATATTTACATTCTGCTCCTCAGTTGCACCAGCCATATTTTAAATGCTCAATAGCCTTATGTGGCTAATGGCTACCATAAAAGAAAGTGCAGATTATAGAACTTTTTGTCTCCACAGAAAGTCCTATTTGACAGTACAGTCTAGATATATGAATTCACAAATTACTACTAACAGTGGCAGGCATTTTGTATGGGTAGAAAACAAAAAAGAAAAGAAAATCGGAACTTTCTTACTTTATTATTTTACCAGAAGGAAAAAGCAAGCAACTTTTAAAATTCTCAATGTTAAAATACTATGACTGGCTTAGAAAACACAGACTAAAGAGAGGTCAAATACTGTACTTATAATTTTTAATTACAATGGGGTCATGATGACATTGTTACTTGCAACGTAAGTTAGCTCTTAACCCTTAAAATATTGTATGTGTGTCAAGATACAAGGCTCTTTTTGTCCGATCTATTTAGATTTGACAACCAAATTTGCTCGGTTTATGCACATTTGCAAAATCATGTTTAACTCCTAGAATTACCTATCAGCTTAAACACGAAAGTCATGTGCAAACTGTTTATTTACAAATCATGTGTGGCTCTTCACCTCAGACTTAAGGGTGACCACTTCTAACATTCACAATTTTGGATGAATTTTCTGTACTTTAGCTATCCCAATGGTTTTTTTTAAGTTTAATTTATCTTTTTTTTTTTTCATTACTAAGGACTGAACCTAGACGCCTCACACTGAGCTACATTCCCAGACATTTGTTGTTGTTATTTTATAAGACAGGATCTTTCTAAGTCACTAAGTTGCCAAGGATGGACTTGATCCTCCTGTCTCAGCCTGTTAGGGGTGCTGGTGAATACAGGCACATGTTTATCTTTTTAAAATCTTGGAAATTTCACTTCAAAATGTTGTGATCCTTTATTGAGCGAATGAACCACAAAATTCAATCTGTGATTGAAATCCAAATATCTATTACTATGTAGTGAGACTTAATTTTCACTCAAATATGTTCAACCAAATAGAACAGCTTAGATAAGTATTTAAAAAGCATTAACTGTGCTTTTTACCTTCCTAAACAATTTTTACTAACCTCTTAAATCACAATTCTCTAGAACCATGAAAAAAGCAGTGAAAAATCTTAGAATGTTTAAATAAGAAAATCTAAAAATTATGTTCACAAGATAATAAAAGAGACAACAGAAGTTCTCAACATATACATCAATACTTCCATTTCACATGAACATAATTATTTCCTTCTTCATATGGAAACTCATCAAATGTATTGAGATCAGATTGTTTTTGTAGTCTATGTTTTGCTTTCTCTTAAAGTATAAAAAGTAGACTTGACTAGTCTTTTTAACATGAAAATTCAAAGTTATTTTTTAAGTCACAGTTGGGAATGTTTTTCTTTTTTAAACTTTTATTTCAGAGAATACAAAACCAAGCAAAATAAAACAGAATAAAGCCAATCAAAACAAGACAGTATAAATAATGCAGAATTTCAAAACAAGATAATGAGAAATCAACAATGGTTACCATGCCTCTTGTCTTCAAAATAGCTGTCCATGCCTTCAGACATAGTAAAATCAAACAGAAACAGAATAGAACCAATAAAAATAAAACAATGAATGCAATGCAGGACTTCAAAACAAGATAAAAGTTAATCCAAAATGGCTACTATAAAGTATCTTCCCATCTTTGGAATAGCTGCCCATACCATCAGATATAATAAAATCAAACAAGATAAAACAGAATGAAACAAAACCAAATGAAACAATGAGAATGATACATGATTTTAAAATAAGATACTAGAGAATTACCAATGGCTACCACCTTCAGAAGGAAATCCCCCACAGATGCTACATTGCATACTCTTATCCTCTGAACAGATGATCAGCTTTAGGCTGGAAAGTGGGTGAGACACTAAACACCACAAGCATTAGGTTGTATTTTACCTCATTAGCTATGGTCACAGCACGTGTTTCTCCAGATCAGCTGGTTACTTAGAGTGGGGTTGCGGAACATTGGCTCTTCTTGTCTCCCTGCCTACACGCCAGAAAGGGCTAGCCTCTTGCTCTCCCCCAGTGAGCCCATGCATGGTGCCAACTCACAGGAGGTCTTCCGGGAATGTTTTTCTAAAACTCATTTTTGCCATGTATTTGTGTTTGTGAAAAAAATCACCAATTCAAAGGTACAAAATCTATACCTTTAATCAATAATTTTAAAATAGTAAGGTATAAAAGGTACTTTTATAGGTATAAAACCTATACCTTTAATCAATAATTTTAAAATAGTAAATTAAGAAGGTTGCCAGCAACATCCCTTTATGAACTCACTGAACAGAGATATTCACCAAGGTCCCACAGTGTCTTAAGTGCCATGCTGGGGACAAAAACAAAAAAGTGGTGAAGACAGACACAGTAATTTTATTCATGCAGCTTATATTTTCAGGGAAAAGACAAATAGCAGAAGGTGAAACAGGGAAGAAGCACCTTGCTTGGTTAGCAAGGGTGCTATGAAGTTAGACAGGTACTTGATTCACACCTGTGACCAAGGTGGTAAAGCTTCTCCCAGAATGTGAGATGGAAAAGAGTGATAGGAGTAAGCCAGAAAAAAACAAGATGGTGGTGGTGGTGGGCAGGAGGGTTATTCAAGGCATGTGTGAAGGCTGGGAAATGGGAAAGAATAGGACTCATTCAAGGAGAGGGATAAGCCTAGAGCTGAGACAGCTCCAAGAAATAAAACTAACAATGGCGCTGTAACGGAGTTTTCCACAACCTTACAACCTTAGCCTGGCTCTGCCATATCATGACTTTAACCACGTGGCCAATATTCCATCATCCCAGCTGACTAAATTAGGGCAGGACCTTCTATAGAGGCTTAGGGAGAACCTATACTCCCCTCTTGGCTGTTTCTTTCCACACAGACAGCACTCATTAATGTTGACATACCTTACCTCTCGTTGTACCTCACTTTTCTCTCCATAGTGGGGTAGCTTTGAAAGAAGAAACTGAAGTTGCCAAATCTACCCCTCTTCCTCTTAGGGTGTGGCCTTTGCACAGAAAGTAAGTGTGTCCTCTTTGACTCTCTGTCTCTGTAAGGGAGATGAGTGCCCATGATGATGGCCTACAAGGGGACAACACATCTACTGAGATATAAGTATGACTACCTAGTTTTCAGGTGCACTATTCACAAGTGGACCTGCCTGCAGATATAAGCCACCTGCTCCAGTATTAGCCTTATCAGAAATAAAGGCACAGTTTTGTCTGCCACCTTTCTTAATCTTTTATCTTTTCAATTAGTTGACGATTCAAGCAGGGAAATGGGTGATTATTTATTATGTCCCCTCAGATTTAACACCAGAGCAATAAAAGACCTGCTCCCATTATACTGCTGAAGCCTTATATTCTAGATTTATAATTAGCTCTCTTCTTCCTGAGCTAACTGTATTGAGTGCCAGTTCTTTAAACAAAACATTTGTAGAACACTTACTACACTGAAAGCAGGGCTGGCCAACAGAGGACTCTGTTTTATGCTGCAGAACAATGTTGCTGAGGTACATGGTGTA